TATGAGTAAACTCCACACTTGGAGTGTTAAAGTGAATTATTTCTAGATAAATGCATTTCTTATACCTCTAGGTTTAAACAAAAACACAAAAGGAAACAAAGACAGCAAAACAAACATGCAAAGAACTCAAGATCACCATGGTCCCTGCCAGGGAAGTTCTATTATTTCTGGTTTGTTCACTATCAGCAATTACAGTTCTGGATTTTAAATGGAGCAAGTTTAAAGGCATCCAGAGTATACTCCACTGGAGGGAGTATGTTACAATTGTAGAAACTTCCTTACAAAAAATTCCTTTTTTGTTCTCAAGACCTCCCCACTCTATGACTAATCAAAATACTTAACTTTCACGCAAGAAATTAAAAAGTGTTTCATAAATATTGCATAATAAATTTCATCACAACTATAGCTATTGGATACTGAAATAATTAATATGGCTTTTTATTCATGCTCCATAAGTGACCTCATTTTTTCCCAGGTTACCTGTTTCTACACAGGCTTTTGCATCTCATTTTAGTTTTTTGATGACTTAGATGAGGAACTAAAGATCTCATGTTATTTATGCCTGTGCCAATTCTAGTTTTACTTATTTTCTCAGGAACATATCTGTAACTATGTTGGGCTTTTCCCAGAAACTCAGTAAACCTTTCATAAAATACTGGATGTAGTCTCTGATTTTTTTTTTTGAGATAGCTAATTTCCACATCTTCAGTGATATGTATGAACTGTTTCAACTTTATGAATTTTCTTTTGGTCCCTCTAATTTCCTGTTAACAACAGACAGAAGTTCATTTCACACACCACTAAAGCCTTCCCTCATAGCAATATCTCAGTTTGATACATGACTGAGGTACACTTTGAACTAGGAATAAATCTCATAGATGCTCCATCTTCTCAAATACTTTCTTTGACAACATGACCATAGCTCTCTTAAAATTAAAGTTCAGATGAGTCACTGGCTTTCTCCTGATCCAAAGCACCTACAAAAAACTACCTTTCTTTCTTTATCCCAAAGGCAAACTAATACAAAGGATTTAAGATTATGTATACCATACACAGGGGCATCAGTCCAAGCTTTAGCAGAGACCCACCAGGTGTGATTTCCAAAGAGAATTAAAAAATTTTCTAGATATTTTCCAATGAGAAAAGAAACTCCTGTGCAAAACAATGTTCTTGTTAGTTTGGGTATTTTAACTAATTAGCATAGAATACAGGAAAAGATGAAAAAAAATTATCTTTAGCCATACGATGCATCAACCATTTTGAAGGGATCATGCTACATCTGATCATATTGTCAGACGTTTATTACCCAAGGAAACACAGTATTTCACAGTCCCACAATTTATTGTAACTTTTTGAATGACAGTTTATTTTTAGTAAGTGTTCCTCACATGAAGTGTTAACCATATCCATAAATATAGATTTTCTCAATTTTACCTAGAAAATTATTTAGTCTGTCAATTTTAGCATATTTTCAGTAAGATACTACCCATTTTAAAGAAAAAAAAAAAGGAAAATCATTTTTATTAGACAATACTCTGTGCTTCCATTGTCAAAATGTCTTTGGAAATAGTATCCATATTCATAAATTAAAGTGATAACAGTAACTCATCTAAAGACTTTAGCATAAATTATAATTAAGCCTTCCATTGCAAGAAAAGCTACACTTCTCATGAATTCCAGACTGATACACTGGAATCAGAAGTTTTGTGAAAGGTCAGGGGTGTTTGTACTTCATTGCTGTATGTATGAGATTTTGTATCTCATTGTATACATCTCTCTTTTTTGAGAACTGTGTAAATTTTTTTAGAAACTCATAAACAGTATGCTTTACATTTATAAATACATGGTTCACAAGAACTCTGCAATATACTGTCTTCAAAATTAAGAGTTCTGGCATCAAAACTATTCCTGAATAGGGCTTGTATGCATTTCTGTATTATGCAGTTCCTAGCACAACAAATATTTGCTGCAGCCATTAGAGGTCTCTGGCAGTGCTAGACATGCAGTTAAGTACAAATCACTAGAGAAAACTTCTCTTCCTACCGTGGTTGTATCTGACTGTATCTTGCAGTCAGATACAATTTTGCTGGCTCTGCCATAGAAGGACACAGACTGATCCACATGATACAAAGACTGAGGTTCATTCTCTTCTGGTGAAAAGTAATTCTTCAGATCAGGTATCTAAGCATTAGACTGATTTTACTGTAAGGGTGGGAGATACTTTTTAATCCTTGTTTTCCTAAACAATTCTCTAACACATAATTTTCAGAGCAGTTTATGATATTCTTGCAGAATTGAAAGTTAGAACATAGATACCATGATTAATCATGGTAAAACTGTCCTCTGACCAAATTACTCCAGCAGTATTACTTAAATCCCTAGGCTAACATGAGCTAGAACACAAGAAGACTTCCATTCTGCTCTCCTAACACTTTCTGACATCTTACCTTTTAAGCATGGCAAACTTTAAAAAATAATGTCTGTGTAAAGATGAATTTATTAGTTTGCTTACTATTAGTGATAAAAGGGGACAAAGGGATAAAACTTTACAAGCAATATCATGAGGAGGGAAGAAAATATATTTTCTGCCCCATGTTGAAGTATTTTGATAACATTAACAAGAATATCTTACAGCTTTCTATCACTGTTTTTAATTTTGATCAGTGACTTTTGCAATGGTTATTTATACACCTGTTTCCCATATCTTGGATTCCTTTTCTCAAGAGCACAGGAAGTGATACATAATTACATCACTGATCCATCAGTTTAATATACTGATATTTACTCAGGTGCATAATCCATGTATTTTTGCACCAAGAGTAATTGGTTCCATTAAGATATCCCTATTTTTGATTTCTCTTTGTAGTGAAAATAAGACGCAAAGCGCTATATAAATGTTAAAAAAAAAAAAAAAAAAAAAAGTGAACAGAAACAGTCACTTGATTTCTTAAAAATAAATAACTTAATCTTCTTTAATCCTAAAAAATATATCTTTAGAGATATACATCTTTATTATATCTAGAATTAGTGAGTTATAGTGTGGCAACATTTGCCTGGCCTAGCACTCCATTAAGGCATTGTTCATGTTCAAGACCCAGATACCCATACATACATTGTTTAACTGAATTAACACATTCACTTTCATTAAATTCCTTTTTCAAATAGCAGAACCAAAAATATTCTTTCACAAACTTAGCAAACATAAAATATTTCCCAAATATATCAAATGAAATGCGATAAACTAGCAGCTAAGTTATACATAATCTATTTTGATATTAGATCGCTGTTTCAAAACCCAACCACCAAAAGAACTCTCTCAAGTTCAGACTCAAGAATGCTTATGAAGAATAACAAGTTCTTCAAAGGCTTAAGATTAAATAATATGACTAACTGTGATAGAGGCAGACAAAGTACCAACTACCACAATTAATTGGATCAAAACCATTGCATGATGAATAATTCTTTCTTTGTATGGACGTTACCTGAAAAAAAGGACAAATATTTATATATTAACAGAATGTATATATTTCATATATTTATGGGAAGTTTTAAAAAATATAGAAAATAATGAAGCTGTACCAGCAATAGTATTTCACATCCATTTTTCAGGAATATAAACAAGAACACAAAGTGTGAAATGCTCAATTGTAATACAGATTGCTATGATTGCTAATCATATTTAACACTGGAGTTCAACATACTATTAAACAAAAATTTATATTGAAATCAATAACAAAATTCCCATTGATTTAATATACTCAAGTTTTAACTACTGGCAACAACAAAAATAACTTATGGTTTATATTCAGAACAATTACTTTTCATAGAGCACAACTGATAAATACTACCATTTTCATCACAATTCCTGTAAAATTTAAAGAGTTTTATCTTAGCATGTTTCTGAGTGAGATCAGAATATGGACAGCATGGTTTGGACAATTTCTTTCTCCAAATCTGCACAGGGTCCCAGGTCACAAGTTTGTCCTGGGAAATGTCATACACAGTGAAGAAGTTCCCACAAGCATGTCTATTCGAAGAAACCAAAGCAATGATAATATGGAAGTCTCCTCTCCTACTCACACATCAATGGGAAAACATTTTCTTTTAATAATGTTATCCACTTGTTTTATTTCAATCTCATTTAGAGTCTGCACATTTCAGCAAGAGAGGTCCACAACTGGAAGTTGTTTCAAACTTTTCACTTCTTGAAACATTAGTGGAGTGTTTATTGGGAGTTTGGAGGAGCTGTTCGTAACACTGTGCATAGTTGGAAGCTAACCCACATCTGCATTCACAGCTTTGACACAAGAGCATAGAACCTGCAGGTAAGGGAGGAAGAAGGGAAGAAAAATTGCCAGGAATGATAATTCTGGAAGATATGATATGAAATATTGAGTTATTCTTTGGGCAGCCTTCTTTTAGGCATGGACTTCTTATATTTGCTGGTTTCTTGGACGTTGGGAGTAAATTATGCCGCTATACACACACACACAATATATATATATATATAAAAGCTATGAGCTTTTTGTTTATAGGAAGAAAATTCCCTTGTACCATAAAAAGGGATCTCTTCATTCCAAAAAGAGAAATCAGTACCTCAGAGGAGGCTAGAATTAAGGCAAAGACAGGCCTGTGGACACAGAGAGTGGCTCCATGTTTTCCCACTTCTGAATGACAATGGATCATTTTTAAAAAAAGCCCTGCACGTGTAATTTGTTATCCAAGTGGTAGTTTCTGCTCAAGTTAGCAAGACTCTTCAGTAGCAAGATCTGCTTGCTAGAAATAGGGCTCAAGAAATGTTTACATGTGCAACATATATATGTATTTACACACACACACACACACACGTACATATACACTCACAAACATGCACACACACAAATTTATAGATAGAGATATATATATGTGCATATGCAAAGAGGCAATATTGAAAACCATATTAGACTTGGAGTGTTATCCGCTTGTCAGAACCATTTAAACTACTATCTACTCAGTACATGTTGAAACTCAACTTTAAGATTTTTTATTTTTATGTACAGTTCATTTTTTTCCCTGGAAATAAAATATCTAAATACAGACAGACTGTAATGTTGTATATGTATAGCTTTCAACAATACTTTAGCTGAATAAATGCTTTGTACATAGTTCTGTCTTTTAATGGAGTTTACAGCTACATTGATAAAATGGATTCCTCATTTCCTTGATTGTTTTTAACCAATAACAAGCAGAGAGACAATTACAAGTTAATATTAGTAAGCAGCTCAAATAACACTGGTTAAATTATGTACAATACAAACCATTCATACAAATGAAGACTAGGATATTGAATTTGTTACAATATTTTGTAATAAAGATAAGACAGCCACTTATAACTTACATGTTCTCCACCAGGCATTTTCCTTCTTAGAGATCAATTACAGTTTTTAAGTAACTCAGCTGACCTAAACAAGTTTAAAGAATCAGAGCTTAAAGAGTCAGAGAAACATGAAACCAGTATGTCTGCTCAAATGTAAATTCCAAATGTTTGCCCATCTTTACTAGAAACAGGCTCACTCCATGGAAAAAGAGCCACCTAACACCACCTCAAATGTGCCTACTGTATGCTGGAAAAAAGTCATGATGCTTTGCTGTGTTCATATAATAAGGAATACTGAACTCTAGACACACATTTTTCCCATTTTTAACAAGTATTTACTCCTACAGTATTATTTACCAGTACAGCTACTTCAAGCAGTAGAATGTATGAGTGGGGATTATTGATTGGCATGTACTCGAAGGACTTTCAAGGAGATTTCCATAACAGTCTGTGTTAGAAACCTTGTTCTGTCTAGTAAATCCATTTTGCTTGATGAGAAGTTATCCTTAAACCTTAGACATGAGACAATGAAAGCTTTCTTAATAGGAATCTCAGTAATGTGCGCTGAAAAGTATGTGGATCTCTGTGTACATGTATGGTTTTATTTCAAATCCATAGTGACTTACACCTAGATTGATACATGGAGCTGACTGGGCAAAAATTACATTAGATTGTTTTCCACTAACGTATTTGCAGCCATTTGACAGCAGCAGCAGCAGGTAGACACATTCCAGGCAAGAGATGTGGCCTTCCTCCTTGAGGTTACAGACCTGTCATATGACCTCTTATTCCCCAGGCTTCAGTCTCAGACACAAGTTGGTCCTCACCCTGATGGGAAGTAGGGTGTGTCACTGTGGTAGTTGTAATCAGGACACACCTTCTGTACTAGTTTATAATCTGTACTATAAAAGGAAATGTAAATACAGATTACTTTAAAGGGCTTGGAGCAGAGCCATGATACGTGGCTCTGGGTCTGCTCCTGATAACAGGTTTTTGAAGGGTCATAGTTGCAGAGTGTGTTCTTGGTAGCCTTGTCAACCTTTTCATACTCGATTCGACAGTTAAAGGACTTGGAATCTTTGGCATCAATCACTGTCTGTTGTGCCAAGTCAAATTCCACTATTTTTGTAGGGGGCACTAGGCTCACAGATACATTCCCTTGACCAGTAGAGTTATGCCTGAAGTAAACACTAAACGTCCCATTGCCATGGTCAACGATTTTCCCCGTTATTAATAGATTTAACTTCACAGTCTTGATGTTGGAATGAAAATCTCCCCAGCCAAACATTTTCTTAAATTTCCCAGTCTTGACGATGGGCCGTCTCTTTGCTCTGGGTCGAGGCTCTTGCAGATCTGTGGAGTTCCTCAGCCAGTCCCAGAGATCTTGCTCAGAATAAGTTTCTGGGGCATCGTATCGCAGGTCCAAATCTGTATCATTTTCCTTTCCACGAAAAGTCTGTGACAGCAGTCGGCTGATAGACAAGTCTTTGCTACTTTCTGTCCATATGTGCTTTAGTGTGGATTTGGAGCTTCCTGATTTTAGTAGTTCTGTTTTTCCTCCATTTGTTAAATTTGCACAGGTAACCTGAAAAAGAAGGGAAGAGGGAAAAGATATATTGAGATATGTAATGCTACCACCTGAGACCAAAATGACCAGATTTCAAAATCATAGGGAATTTTTTTTTGAGAAATTAAATTATATCTCTCTACTCAGTAAACCATACCAGAAATGTTTCTTTTCCTCTATTTTCCGAGTAGTTACTACTTAATTCTCCTTTGCCAGTTTTTTACACTACCCTTCAGATTTAATCCCAAGACATTCACAATATTCTCCTGTTATGATGTCTGTAAGTGATGAGTACTTAATGAATTACTACAGAAAAATAAGGTACACAGCCTTGTCATCCTTCAGTCTGTATGTGGCTGTATTGGGCATCTCAGAGTGAAGCATTCTGGCTTGAATGTTCCCTCTGCAAAGTAGCTGTGTCCTCCACTATCAGTAACGTTCTTTTTTNAGAGTCCATGTCATTATGAATCTAATAAGAGTAATATAATTTCCCTACTCCTTTTATGAGTACACATTGGTCTGTGTTCTTGACTGGGACCCTCAGTCACAACTACAAAATAAATAAAGAATAATGAAAATTTTAATGAGTTTGGCATCAACAGCTGTACACACCGTGTACTCCACTTCAATTAATACAGGACGAGTCACAGCCTTTTTTTATAGTCCCTTACAGACTAGCTACTGATTTGCCTTGTCTGTATTTAGTATGACATGCATTTCTCCTTGCTCGCTTCATTTCTTTGTTCACCATTTCCTCCCCAAATCAAATAGTGATCTGTGTAAGACAGAAAGCCTTTTGTGTACTTACAAGAAAAATAAGGTCATCAATTCAAAAGTACTAATAAAAAAATTTTGCAAAATCACATTTTAAAAGAAGACAAAGTCTTGCACCAAATTCCTACAAAATTATATATTTCAGACATAGTTTGTCACAAAATTTACTGTCGGAGCAATTTGCCTTATTTATATTTTTTCTCTTTGCCTTAATTGAGTGAAAAACAGAAAACAGATGCAGGCTCACAGCTGTCTAACATGCAGCACTAGCAGAGAGCTCTGATGATGGAGTGGAACAGGGAGTGCTGGAATTGGTGGGGCAGTGGGCGGATGGAAAGGGACTGACAGCATGTGTTATTCCATTCCCCCTGAAATTTTTCATCACGCACACTGCCCCATTTTCTAACATTTACACTGCTCTGAAGAGGCCACCAAGTTTCTTATTTCCCCTTTCATGGTTACATATGAGATTCTGAATTTATCCTCTTTTATTCCTCTGATTTATGTGCTTCTATCATATTTGCAGTTATATCTTTCTCTTCACTTAAAAATTAATTGAGTGCATTCCCTACCCAGGAAACCCATTGGAAACCAGATAGTATTTAAATCATGTCCCCTCCCTACTGGTACAACTGGAGGTATATGTCACAGAGGATATCTATCATAGTATGGCCTTTTCATTCCCTAAAAATTCTGAAATTGAAGCATGCTTTCATTAACTTCAGTAGTTTTTCAAGGTCAGTTGAAGGCATTTACATAAAATCAGTTTAAATTGTCTTAATACACTGATTAGATAGGAGATATGCCCCCAGCCTTTTACAGTAAATAAATAGATAATTAAGTCTATCACATCTCACCCTATACCTCCCCAGTGCATTTCAAGTTGGTGGGCCAATAAGGATAATAGATAAAATATGGGTTTAAATCAGAATATTGCCAAAAATATTACTTCTTCCTCTTTTGAATGGACAGAATGATTAAACACAGACTAGCATTTTGATAGCCAGTTCATAGTTGCATTTTAACATCAACACAGTGAGCCAAAAGAGAAGCTGTAATAAAATGCACTGATGTTGCACTGGTTAATGAAGCAGCAAAGAAAATGTCACAGGAAGAGAGAAAGAGACTCAGAATATATTTTTTTCTGTGGCATATGGGGAAAGAGGGCAAAATAAAAAAACAAATGTGGTTAAAAGGAAAAATGTGCCTGTCTAGCATGAATCTGTCAACATGCTATGAATCTAAGCAGTTAGACAACAGAGCTAGTAATCTGTTGGTAGGATATAGACTGCTTATCACTCTAATTTTCTTTGCTCACAGTTTTTTTTTTAATTTTTGTTTTCCTTTCTTCATCTTCATCTTCAGTGATTTACATTTCATAGGATTATACTACAGCTTCCATGTAACAAGATGCAAGAGTATAAAAAAAGCCTGTAAAAAGAGGTCTCTCTTTTTTTTTCAGACATATAAAACTAAACATTCAGGAAAGAAAGGAGATATTTTCTGAAATGATTACTGACTGATCCAATACATTGAATCACATTGAAAAATTGTTTTTTTGAAAGCCAGCATATTTCATGGGAATGGACGAATCAGATTCTATGCATTCTATGCTGCTTCATACCTGATCTAACAGATACAATTGATTGTTACTGTCATCGATTTTGTAATACCTGAAAGACTTCTGGTCATTCAGTTAGCCCCGAGACCTCGGTTCGTGATTTTCAGTGTGGGTAACTGGCTGCATTCATGATTAAAGGCCTGAACCTGCCCTCCCGAGTCAAGTGTCTGTGTAAGCACTAAAAAAAACAGCCCACAAGGGTTAATAAAAAAGCTTTACAATTCATTGTTCTTTGCTAACATTTTCCAACCAACTGCTTTCTCATATACTGTTAGTATACTGTTTGCTATAGAAAGTAGCTATATGTATCCTCAGAGACTCACGCACCCAATAACACGGAGCATTGCTGTGTAATAGAATTTCTGCGAATGCAGCACTTTTTCACACAAACTGATCCACAATTTTCTTCGATTTCTCTTCTTTCCAAACACAAGGCTGCAATAATACAGGAAAGAGCTTGCAAATGCATGAGATTTTGCACTTAGTAGTGTGAAACTGAAACATAGATCTATTCTAGCAGTACATGGAAAAAGAGCCAATTTCAAATGGATAATAAAACACTGAGCAGCCTAAATTCTGTAGAGGTTTTTTTGTCCTCTTCCTTAAGGGTATCTGCATATAGTTCAGAAACTTGCATTCTCTACCTCATAAATTAGTTCACTATAACAAGAGTTGCCTTCTTTTCCACAGCCAGGTGTCATTCCTAAAATGAATCATTATGAAGTTTGGCCCACTTGTAATGGTTCTAGTTAGGATAGAGTTAATTTTCTTCACAGGAACTCATATAGTGCTATGGTTTAGACTTTTGATCCAAATGCTGGTAGCACACTAATATTCTAGCTATGGCTGAACAGAGTTTCCCCAGCATCAAGGCCTTCTGTTTCTTTCTCAGTCCCTCAAGTCAACAGGCTGGAGAGGTGCACAATGGAGCGGGAATGGACACAACTGAGCAAAAAACCTGAATTAACCAGAGAGATATTCCATAATACATAATATCATGCTTAGCAATTAAAAGCAAAACTGTAGTTTTAGGAGGGGTTAGCCATCTCTTGTTTGGAAACTGGCTGGTCACTACTCTACCCTTAGGAGTTAGTGAATGTTGCCTTTGCATCAGTTATTCTGTTTTTTTTCTCTTTCTCTTTTCTCTTTCTCTTCTCTTTCTCTTTTCTCTTTCTCTTCTCATTCTCTTCTCCCCCACTTATCCTTCACTTATTAAGCTTTTCTTTATCTTGACTCTCAAGTTTTCTTGCTTTTATTCTTCCATTCCTCTGCCCCCATCCCACTAGGGAAAGGCAGAAAGCAAGTGAAGACCTGTGAGGTGCTTAACTGCCCAGCTGCCCACCAGTGTTAACGTACAACCCCACTGCAGTGCAATAAATCAGTGTTGCAAGAGTGCTGAGGAGGGGGATTTCCTCTGTGACTGCATAGCTAGAAGTGGGTTGGAATGATGATGATGGCAGAAATGTCCATATAGAAAAATAGTAAAGAGCCAAAAGATCTAGAAATACTTATCCAAGGATACAAATGTCATTGGAAGAGAACTCATTAAGCATGACAGACTGACATTTGGTTCTGGTCTTGTACTTTTAATAGACAGCACATATTTCCACTACCTAGTAAAGCCTACCGATATCCAAAAAAGTACTAGGAGCTGACTGCTCGGTAACTATTTTCCAATTAATAATGAATAATGAAAAATTGCTAATCCATTTCTTCTGCTTATTCTATGAAGAAGCAAAGATAGTGGTTTCATTGGGCACAATATCCCAAAGCATCATTAAAAAAGACAGAAATTGATCTGTAATCAATTTTTGAATCCATTAAAATAGAATACGCCAATCATTCTTTAACCTTGTTTTAAGGGTGAAAATTTTTTTGTGATATCATTAAACGCTTTTTAATAAATATATGTAGTTCTTATAGGACTTCCTAAAAGATAGGCAGTTTATTTGTCTCAGGTATTTTGGAATTATCTTTCAAGACACTGAGCCCTTAATGTTTTGTCAGGTCAAACTTAAACATTTGGTGCAGAGAAAATGAAGTTAAAAAACGACCTTGGGAATCCATGAAGGTGTCAAGTGATGATTTAGGCCCTCTTCTCAGTTTAAAATCAACCACAGGTATATTAACATTAATTTAAGACTGATCGATTAGAGATTAAAAAAATTAGTAATTTAAAAAGGTGCAGAATGCCTCTTGATTTCTCACTCTTTTCTTTTTATTCTAGCTCTGTTACAATTCATTACCTATAATTATAGTATTGATTTAGAAATCATGCATTTATTCCTCCAAATGTATGACTACTTGAGGGCAAATGAAAATGTAAACAAACAATCTAATACTCAAGGTGGTAAATCTCTCTCTTCAGGTAAATAACTAATCAAAACCAAGATTGTTTTTGCTGGCATAGCACTGTAAGAACTTGGCAGCACTGTGTTTGCATATGCTCTGTATAAAAGAGTTCAGAATTCTCTTTCCTTGGTAAGATAACTCAGACGAGAACATAGGAAGGAAAGTACTCGTGGTCATTACAGTAAGCTGAACCATTATTAAGGCAGGACAGCACTCAGAAAATTTTCAGTGAATCCCATGTCCTCATAATAATCCTGTTTATGCAATGGGT